CGGCGCGGCGCGCGGGAGGCCGTTGCGAGCGTGCAGTCGGGAAGCAGCGCGCAGGCCGGCGGCGGCGGAGGGATCCGCGCCCGGGGCGGGAGCGAGCGTAGCGGTGCGTGTTGACGGCACGTTCATGACTGGCGGTATCCCGCCGCCAAAGGGAGGGGGGGGGGAAAGTAAGGAGAGCGAGAGAGGAAGAGTAGGGCGCGCGCGTGCGCAGGGGCGTTTCCCGGGCAACGGGAGTGCCGGGGCGCGCGCCGGTGACGGAGCGCAGGCGTCTCAGCGGGCGGGAGGTTCGAATCCCGCCGGTGCCAGCTCTTCGGCCGAGTGGACCTTGGCTGGGCCTCTGTCTTTCCTCGCCTCAGGTTTCTCCTCTGTGAAATGGGTAGCTGCCCTAATGATCACGCCCACGTAGTTGGCCAGGATTGAAAGCTCAGTGATCTGAAGGAAAGTTTCCTTGTGTCCATAGAGGGAGGGATTAGTGTGCTGGTGGCAACGCTGCAGCAGGCTGTGGCAATTTATAATTTACCCTGTCCCTGCTGCCCAGCTCTGCGGGGCGTTGTTTCTCACCCTTTGAAGTTAGACTGAAATGCCACCTCCTCCAGGCAGCCGTCTCTGGCTTCCTTGCAGAAGCAGCTTGTCCTCCGGCTGGGCCTAATAGCGTGACAGTCCTTCCACTTAACGCCTGGCGCAAGTGACTTCACTTTGAGCTTGGCGTCTTTCCCCTGTAATTAACACTAATTTCCACAACTGGGCACCGACTTCCCACGTTTTGCTGCTCTGCTCTCCTGGCAACTCTAATTTGTAGGTCATTTACTGACGGGGAACAAAAGTTCACAGAGGTCAACTTCATACATCTTAAAAATGGCAGAGCTGAGTCTTTAAAAATCAACTTCCCCCAAGTTGGGATAAAATCCAAACTCCTGCGGCCTTGCCTGGCTTGTACCTCCATCCCCTAGAACAGTGCTTGGCTCATAGTCAGTGTTCAGTGTATATTTATTGAGGGAGAGAATGAATGAGCTGACTGCTCCCTCCTGACCATGTCAGTCTGGTTTCTTTGCTGGAGCGCAAGTGACCTTTTGGAAATGGAAACATAGTGTCACTGAGGCTTACCTGCCACAGCTGCCCAACTCCAGCTTTATATTCTGAGACTGTCAATTCATCTGTTGAAGCATCTGCAGTGAGTGTCCCATGCTGAAGTGGAGAGACAGAGTGCTGCTATTCCCAACTCCCATGCGCACCTTTCCTGGCTTCTTGAGTTCAAACTGACAGCTTTGCACCAATCCTCTCTACACGCCAGGCCATTGTAAAGAGCAGTGGGAGCCTGGGTCCTGCCCTCATTCTTCTGTCTGCCAGATGTACCAGATGTGCAAGTGTGTGCACTGGAGTGACGGAGTGGGCCCACAGCCACAGTGGTGGGTCAGGAGACCTGAACTACGCCGGGCATACTTAAAATAATGACTTCTGGGCCGAGCCCGTGGCGCACTCGGGAGAGTGCGGCACTGGGAGCGCAGCGACGCTCCCGCCGCGGGTTCAGATCCTATATAGGAATGGCCGGTGTGCTCACTGGCTGAGCGCGGTGTGGGCGACACCACACCAAGGGTTGCGATCCCCTTACCGGTGGTCACGAAAAAGACAAAAAAAAAAAAAAAAAAAAA